ATTGAAAAAAATGAATCCATTCCTTTTCCCTTATTTGATAAGTAAATAGATTAAAAACTAAAATAAAATAAAAAACTTTAAGAAATAAAAAAAAAAATATATATATATATAACATAAATAAATTTAAAAAAGTGTTATATAATTAGAGTGCCTAATGTAAACCAGTAGCTCAGACAGGCCTCCTAGATGCAAGGAGACCCTCTTAATGTGATATATGTTAAGTGGGAAAATCCCACATCGAGTATAAAAATAATAAGCTTGTGGATTAAATACAAGGAGGGCTACTCCACCTATTGCCAATTGGTTTTAGGTTGGATGCAAGCCTTGCGTTGAGTCCACATGCAGGATTTTCAATTCTTTTGAAGAGCATCTAGTTCTTCTTGCATTGCCTTAACCCAATGTGGAAGCTGTAATGCCTGTCGAACTGATTTAGGTTCTTGAGTATGCAGACCTACAAGATTCAAAGATGAGTCATTAGTTGTCATAGTATGTGCATGCTTGGTAAATTTAGTTTGAACATGTCCTGTATGAGTCCCTGATTGAGTCCTGGTCATCATAGGGTGATTAGATACTGAATTAGCATTATGTACTGGTGGTGAAACTCCTGACATAGGTGTTTCAGATGTTCTAGTTGATTGATTTCCATTTGATGTTATAAGGTGATTTGAATTAGGTGCTCCGATAAGTGATTGAGAGGAATCTGATTCTTCTGTAGCACCATGGAATTGAACACCATCTTCTTTAGAAGAAGCATTAATTTCTTCTTGACATAAGTGTGATATTCCCGTTGCCATCTCAGGTTCAGTTCTTGTTGAGTCTTTGGTGCAATCAGTGTTCTCTCCCTCATTAGTGATGATAGTAAATCGGGAAGGCATCTGAGATGTAGATGGTTGCTTATCCAAGTGCTTCGATGGCTGTAGGTTTGATTTAGATTGGCACCACTCAACATGATCAGGATATGTGCAAAGTTCCCCATCTGTACTAAGAATACTTGAAAGTTTTGTTAGATCAGTATATGGCATATAATATTCATAAAAAACAACATGTCTTGAAATATAAATACGTTGGGTTGAAGGATGTAAGCACTTATAACCCTTGTGTATAGGACTATACCCAATAAAGACACATGGTAGAGACCTGGGTTGGAGTTTATTAGAAGCATAATCTCTTAAATAAGGAAAGCAGCGGCACCCAAAGACTTTAATCATAGAATAGTCAGGAGCTTTGCCATAAAGTAAATAATATGGAGTCTTATTGTGTAATACAGGAGTAGGCATTCTATTAATAAGGAAAACAGCAGTAGAAAAGCTATCAACCCAGTAACGTGATGGCATGTTAGCATGGAGTAACATGGTCAAACCTGTCTCAACAATGTGTCTATGCTTCCTTTCAGCAACTCCATTCTGTTCTGGAGTACCGGGGCAGGACACTTGTTGCTTAATGCCACATTCTGCTAGGTGATTAGTGAAAGCCAGGCTAGAGAATTCTCCACCACCATCACACTGGAAAATTTTGATTCTT